TGATTTCCAACATTTCATATTTGAATGACGGAGCAGACAATTTGGAACAAGGCAGGAAATCTCTCAATCGAAATGGTCATATTCATGGCAATGATCATAGTTATTGTGTCTCTTCCTCATGCTTCAAGTAAGGTTTCTATTGCTAATTGTCCTGCTGGTGAACCTCTTCCTATTCTCCACAAGTATTACCAGCCAGGTGATTTTATCATTGCAGGCATTTTCTCTCAAATCTACATTTTTTTGAGTCCAATCAGTTTTCAGAAGCAGCCTTCAGAGGAGAGTTTTGATGACCTTGTGTAAGTAATTGAGTAAGTAAGTAATTTATTTGCAAATAAAATGTATGTTATCTTTGACTAGATAACATTTCCCAATTATTTATGTGATCTTTATTTAAATCTAAAATTTGGGGACACAGATGAGGAAGGAAACAGAATGTTAGAAGAAATGTGTTCAACCATTTATGCAAGTCAAGTCTATGTTTATGTCCTCATTTGGTGATTTTCAATTCTTGAACTTTGCTGAAGGGGATTACACAATGCTTAGAGATACAACCATCTATAGGAATATAGAAGTAGAAAATAGGATCATTGGGGGTGGGGTCAACTATTTCGTTCTCATATTGGTAGGATCAGATACCAAAACTCATTAAATTCAATGAATTGAATTGAAGCATAAAAATATAAAAGCTGTAGATTATGAGAGAGATGATATGATAGCACTATGAAAGGTAAGTGGTAACATCTTTTAGTCTAATTGAAGTGCAAGAACACAATACTGCCCTTCATCATATAACTTTTCTACAGTAAATGAGGTTGATTGCTCTATTTCTAATGTCAAAAGATTGCAAAAGTGAAAGCCATCAAGGAAATGGCTTGTCCTCAAAGAAACCATGAGGCAGGTTTTCATGCAGGAGTGTAATACTAAATATGGATATGTACAACTGAACATTGCTATATTGTAATATTTTTGGAATCTTGCTTTGTGTGTCAAAATACTATAATTTCCAAAACTTAGAACAGAGAACAGAGAATAATAGAGTTGGAAGTACCTTGGAGTTCTTCTAGTCCAACCAAATAAATGGTTGTTCAGTCTCTTTTTGAGTGTTTTCAGCAATGGAGCACCCACAACTGCAGAAGGAAAACCATTCCACTGGTTGATTGCTCTCAGTGTTAGGAAATTTATCCTTAGTTCCATGGAGTTGACTTGAAGTGTCTTAGTTTCACAGCACTATTTCTAGGTAGAACAAGGGTTACCATCTAAAAAAATATACCTAGCCTGAAACTCTTTCTTTGATACAGGCTAATGACTCAGAATTACCAGCACATCCTGGCCTTGGTATTTGCTGTGAAGGAAATCAGTGAGAATACCCAACTCTTACCTAATGTCAGTTTGGGCTTCCACATTTTAAATAGCCACTTTTTTGCAAAATGGACCTACTTGCCTCGATGGAACTTCTATCCACAAAGGACAAATTCATCCCCAACTACAAATGTGATATTCACAATAACATTGTGGGAGTCATTGGGGGACCTAATTCTCAAGTTTGTCTCTACATGACAAACATCTTAAGCACTTATAAAATTCCACAGGTTAGTTGTACATGTCAAAAGACCATGAGGAAGGACAAGTTTCCTTAAATTTAAGTATGATTTTGGGCCTGGCTAAGTAGTGGAAATGGTAGTGGCAAACTGCGGGTGGGCTCGTCCACCTGCCCCGGGGCTATGCTGTTCTATTTAGCCATGTTTTCTAAGCCACGGGCATAAGCAAACTGCATGCACAGAAGGCCGTACGCATGTATGGAAGGTGTCCGTGTGAGTGAAGAAAGCGGGTGTGCATACTCACATTTTTGGTAAGTGCAAACTGGTGGTAAAATTATGTGAAAACCACCTCTGGCCTGGCTATTAGAAAATGGAAAGCTTCTGACTTCTTTTCCTATAATGACTTGATGATTGTTTAATCTATGTTTGTAATGTGAAGGGTCAGGAGGTAATAAATAAGCTCATTCCATATCTTCTCATCTGTAAGTCAATCCATACTCTTATCCCAGGAACTCACATGCTCCAAAATATTTTTTGAAGGACTTTGAAAACCATAATATTTCTTGCCATTCGAGTATTCAAGATAGATTTTTGGAGAACGCATATTTTACTCTCTTTTACAATAAGAAATATACAAAATTCAGCTAAATGTAACATAGAGAGTAATGAAGAGAAAACCTTGTTCCAATGCCTTCTCTTTCAGTTGAATCTATCATAATACTGATTATCATGATGTCTCACCTTTTCCCATGTATTTCTATCCTAAGATCAGTTATGGCTCTTTTCCAGTAATAAATGACAAAACCAAAGATTTCTTCCACCAGATGTTTCCAAATGTGACCCATCACTATATGGGCATTCTTGAATTACTCCTGCATTTCAAGTGGACCTGGATTGGTGTGCTTGCTACAAATGGTGACAATGCAGATTTATTTGTACAGGATATACTTCCCATCTACTCTCAGAAGGGAATCTGTGTAGACTTCTTAGAAAAAATACCCCAAATATCTTTTTCAAGTCTTATTGCTGAAAAAGCAATCAAATGGTTTGAGACTTCACGTATGGTCACAGGAAGTACTGCCAATACTGTTATTATACAAGGTGAAATACATACTATTAGTTTCTTAAGGTCAATGTTCATTTTTGCACAATTTTATGGTGTATCATTTGAGAGTCGAGTGTGGATTATGACAGCACAGATGGATTTTGCATCTCCTGGTTTTATCAGAGATTGGGATCTACATTTCCTCCATGGGGCTTTATCATTTGCTGTTCACACAAACTATCCTAGAGGATTCCAGAAATTTCTGAAGGAAAGAAATCCTCTCTCAGAAAATAGGGATGGGTTTATCAGGATCTTCTGGGAAGATGCTTTTAATTGTGATTTCTCAAATTCCACTCTAGAGGAGAGAGATGGGGAGATCTGCACTGGGGAGGAAAAGCTGGAGACTCTGCCTGGGACCGTGTTTGACACAAGCATGTCTGGCCACAGTTACAGCATTTACAATGCAGTTTACATTATGGCACATGCTTTGCATGCAGTAACTTCATCCAAGTCAAAACAGAGAGCAAAGATGAAAGAGATGAGACAAAAAGGACTACATGAACAGCCATGGAAGGTAATATCCACACTAATGTGAAATGGTTTTCCTTTTTTTTTTTTTTTTGAGACAACAGATGAATTCATTTTCTCTCTACCTTCTCCCCAATTTAGCTCCATAAATTTTTGAGAAATACTTTCTTTAAAAACAGCGTTGGAGAAAATATTTCCTTTGATGACAATGGGCATATCAATGCAGGATTTGATATTTTCAACTGGATCACTTACTCAAATAACACATTTACAAAAGTCAAAGTTGGATGGGTGGACCCAAATTCTTTCTCTTCCAAAACATTCAACATGAAGGAGGGTTCCATTACATGGCCCTTGAGATTTAATCAGGTACAGTATATATTTTGTATAAATTTGCAGAGAGTTCAATCCCCATTTTGAATGTTTAAAAAGTAGTTCCTTGCACTTCCACTTAAATAGTTTTGTCAGTATGCACTCTGTAGGATTTGGAAACAGTGGGTTAATTTAACTATCTTACTTCTCCCAATCAGTATTGACAGGAGGAGGTTGCCCCTACAGACTTTATGAGATTAATGGGATGTCTCAGGGCTCAACACTCTTACCTGTCCTGCTTAACCTCTACATGAAAGCACTAATATTGCTTTATGATGATATCATAATGTAGATATCAACTCTTTGGTGTGCAGGTGAAGATGTCCATGTGCTTGAGGCTGTGTCAGCTCCAGTGTGCTGTCAGCATGAGGCTGCCATTCGTGGGGGGGGAGGAAACACACAAACCTCATTTCAGCCCAGCATCTGCTTCGTCGAGCCTCTCAGGAACTGACAGGATTGATGGAAGGGAATAGCTGGGGAATGACATCATCATGGCCAGCCAGAAATAATAAGGGGATTAACTGTTTAGATGCTGGTTGTAAATACTCAAGAATTAAACATAAGCCAACTTCCGGGTCACATGGGAGGGAGCAGCGCGCATGATTGGTTGGGTGGTGATAACTAAATGGATAAATGGTGGTGGGAAGCACAGGGCAGTAGCCCTAACAAGATTTTCATCTGTGATTGTCAGTGAGTGCCAAGAAGTGATTAAACTAAGGTAGCAGCCATCCAGGTTTGTCTCCTTTTATTTCTTTCTGTTTGGAACCTGACAGGTTGTTTGGGTTTGAATAGGATGCAATAGACATTAGCTAAATCCTGGGAAGACTGAGTATCATGTCCGTTTGGGCCTTCTGAATTTGCAACATTTTCACCTTTGTTCTTGTAATGGGATACACATTCCCCTAGAGACTAGTGTGCATCTTTGGACATTTTACTGGTTGAAGAGGAAGTAGCAGCAGTGGCCAGGAGGGTTTACAAAAATTCACCTTGTGCATCACTTGCACCTATCTTTAACTGGGAAATCCTTCAGATGGTTACTCTTGCTCATAGTACCTCAGAATTTAACTACAGAAATGTGGAGCTTCAAGAGTTGCAGGTATATAATGTCCGCTTCATATCTTCTTATCTTTGAAGAAAAGATGAACTCCTCTGTGCATTTTCATCAATATAGTCCTGTGGATCTTCCTATCCCAACATGATCAAAACCTACCCCCAAGTATTGAAAAAAGAAATCTGCAATTTTGCAAACCTGTTGGCAAATGCCATGATTTTCTGATAATTGAATTCCAGTTAATAGTTCTGGAGAAGGGGAACAGCTATTTGATTGAAATATCTTGCTGGTCTAATGAATGGCACATAGCTCCTTAAAAATTCTTTTAACTGTGATAGATTAATTCAACTAAGTTTCTAACACATTAACAGTCACTCAGTCATAGAGTATCATTAAAATAAATTACAGTTCCTAAAAGTCTGCAGTGTTTGAGAACTTGCAACTCCCTACATTTTGGCAAAGAAAAAAGTAATAAATTATTGCTTGAGTAAAATTCCATTCCATTCTTTTTAAAACAATTAAACCAGAAAGAGTACATTAGATGATGAACAACACTTCAAAGTAAATATAAATCCCCAAATATTATTGCACAAAACTAGTAATATCTTCCGTTCAGTTCTAAAAAGAGAATATCTTATACAAAGTGATGGACCTATTTTGGAGATTAAGGGTAAGGTGGAAAAGTCTGTGATACTGTTTTATTCCCTATTTGCAAAGACCAATACCATTATAGCTGACATTGTTTTATAAAGTCTCACTCTCATGCCTTCAAGCAATGCATATACTGTAAAGCAGCAAAGCAGCCATTTTGTATCTGTGTTTCAGTAACAGCAATTCCTTCATGGCTTGTATGTCTTATTAACAAAAATTAAACAATCATAGCATGGCAATAGCTTCAAACATCTTCTCTTTCTTTCAGGAAAGACCTATTTCTGTCTGTAATGATAATTGTAATCCGGGTTCTAGTAGGGCCAAAATAGAAGGAAAGCCATATTGTTGCTACAAATGCATTCCATGTCCAGAAGGAAGGATTACAAATCATGAAGGTAAGTTATATTGTCGTTAAAGGATTAATTGGTCCATGAAAATGAAGGTGGAACGGTATTCAAGAGAAAGCGTTCTAATTGTATAAGGGGGAAAATGTTTAGATGAGTGAAATAAAACAAAACTTCCTGTCTTCTTCCTTAATATCCTCCAAGGAATTTGAGAAACAAGGAACTTTGTACTCTAAGCCATAAAACAGATGTAGATGGTAATAAAACCAGGTCAAGAACCTATGAGAAAGAACAGGCTATGAGAATTAAGGTTGATGTATTGCTACACTCAATCCAATTATTAGTTTGGATATTCGCTCTTTCTAATCATATATGCATTCTCATTTGCATACATCTACTTTTCCCATATCTATGGGTGTAAACACAATTTAATCTGCTGAAATTTATGATGTATCATAACAATTGCAAAAATACATAGATCCAATTTGGCATCAGTTTGAAAATTCAGATTAATCAGAAAGGGATAAAAATAAAAATCAGTTTGAATTGAGTCAATTCTATGCACTTTCATTCACTATGTTAAAGAATTGATTTCTTAATGTTTCCCAACATCTTTACAACTTTAGACAATTTTAAATCAATAGTTTTAAATTTTTTATTTCATTTATTTTTATTTTATTATGTTGTTATAATTTGCCCAGAATCATTTAGGTGAGAAGCACAGTGTAGCAATTCAATAAATAAAATAATAAAAATAATTCTTAGGCAGCCGCCCATTGAAATATTATGCATTAACCATTTTGCTAAACTTTCTTCAGTCAATATTAACCTTGTTTTCATTGATGCAGAATCTTCTACACTGTAATAATAGAATTTTCTTTTGCAGACATGGATGATTGTTTACCATGCCCAGAAGGACAGTATCCAAATAACAAGCATGACTTGTGCCTTCCAAAACATATCACTTTCCTGTCTTATGAAGACCCATTAGGGACCAGTTTGGCCACTACTGCAATTGTCTTTGCCTGTATTGCCACTGTGGTGCTTGGGATCTTCATCAAATACCAGGACACTCCCATAGTCAAGGCCAACAACCGGAACATCACCTACCTTCTTCTTGTCTCCCTTGTGCTCTCATTCCTTTGCAGTTTATTATTCATTGGGCAACCTGAAAAGGTCACCTGCCTTTTCCAACAACCTGCTTTTGGGATTGTCTTCTCAGTAGCCATTTCTTGTATATTGGCCAAAACCATCATCGTGGTGATCGTTTTCATGGCTTCAATGCCAGGATCCAAGATGAAGAGATGGCTGGGCAAACGATTAGATAATTACATTGTTGTTTCTTGTTCCCTCATTCAAGTCCTTGCCTGTACTGTATGGCTTATAACCTCACCCCCATATCCAGATGCTGATATGAATTTAGTGGCAGATGAAATCATCCTGGGATGTAATGAAGGCTCTACTCTCATGCTTTATTGTGTGTTACTCTACCTTCTTTTCCTTGCTGTTGTTGGTTTCAGTGTGGCTTTTCTATCCCGGAATTTACCAAACAGTTTTAATGAGACCAAATTTATCTTCTTCAGCCTGTTGTGTTTTTGTAGTGTGTGGCTGTCATTCTTTCCAACATATCTTAGCACCAAGGGAAAATACATGGTGGCTGTGGAGATCTTTTCCATATTATCTTCCAGTGCAGGGTTATTGGGCTGCATCTGTTTTCCCAAATGTTTTATTATTCTTCTGAGACCTCAACTGAACAATAAGAGGGAGTTACTGAAAAGCAAGAAACAATGAATGGTATATTATGAATGATATAGTTGTTGTTTAGCAACTGCTTTATTGAGGAACTGACCATTCCTATTTATAATGATGGATAAAAAAATAATTGTGAGTAATCTACAACCTCTAAAAGTCTGTAGAGCAAAGAAAGCTGAAGTAAGATCATTAGTACAGTTAGCCCTTGACTTACTACCACAACTGAGCCCAAAATTTCTGCTGGTAAGTGAGACATTTGTTAAGTGAGTTTTGCCTCATTTTATGGCTTTTCTTGTCATAGTTCTTAATCACTGCAGTTGATAGGTTAGTAATGCAGTTGTTAAGTGAATCTGGCTGCCCCATTTACTTTGCTTGTCAGAAGGTTGTAAAAAGGTGATAAACATGACCTTGGGGCATAGCAATGGTCATAAATATGAACTAGTTGCCAAGCATCTGAATTTTGATCTCATGATCATGAGGATGCTACAAAGATTGTAACAGTTAAAAAAGGTCATAAGTCACATTTTTCAATGCCAGTGTAACTTTGAATGGTCACGAAACAAACTGTTATAAGTCAAAGACTATATGTATACTCATGGTTTCAATTAGTGACTGCTTCACTTAATAACCAAATTGATGATGATATTATCTATTCAGTAGAATCCGACTCTTGGTGATTCTATGGGTCTCTCCACATCTTCTGATCTTGTACTATTTCTTTATTTTCTATTCTCTGGCTGGTGTTAGCTTTGATAGTGTCCAACAATCATTTTCTTTTATGGTTTCCTCTTATCACTAAGTCTTCCAAACATAATTGCTTTGCACAGGGTACAATCAAAGTATTGGTCCTAACCCTGCTTCTATTCCACAAATCATTAAAAACATAGTTTTACAATGCCTTATTTTAGGTTGGCATTGAACAATTATTGCCTCTTCTTTGCTGATATATCTACCCTTTGTTATGGATGTACATGATTTCTTCCCTCTGTTTTATTGTTCTATTTTCATTAATTGATATTACCATTTTTATAATATTATTGAAAATTTTCTCAGAAAGAAAAATAAAGTAATATAGAAACTAGACTTTAAAAAGAAAAAAAAGAAAGTGAATAGTTTTTTTTAAAGCATATATAGCCAGGGAAAGCTTCAATGCTTTTCACCATTAGAAGAATAGAATAGAATAGAATAGAATAGAATAGAATAGAATAGAATAGAATAGAATAGAATAGAATAGAATAGAATAGAATAGAATAGAATTCTTTACTGGCCAAGTGTGATTGGACACACAAGGAATTTGTCTTGGTGCATACGCTCTCAGTGTACATAAAAGAAAAGATACATTTGTCAAGAATCATAGGTACAACATTTAATGAAAGTCATAGGGAACAAATAAGCAATCAAATCATATTAAGAAACAGTCAATATAAATCCTAAGGATACCAGGAACAAGGTTACAGTCATACAGTCATAAGTGGGAGGAGATAGGTGATAGGAACAATGAGAAGATTAATGGTAATGCAGACTTAATAACTAGTTTGGCAGTGTTGAGCAGATTGATGGAATTCAGGGAAAAAACTGTTCTTGTGCCTAGTTGTTCTGGTGTGCAGTGCTCTATAGCGTCGTTTTGAGGGTAGGAATTGAAACAGTTTATGTCCAGGATGTGAAGAGTCTGTTAATATTTTCACAGCCCTCTTTTTGACTCGTGCAATATATAGGTCCTCAATGGAAGGCAGGTTGGTAGTAATTTTTTTTCTGCAGTTCTAATTATCCTCTGAAGTCTGTGTCTGTCTTGTTGGGTTGCAGAACCAAACCAGACAGTTATAGTGTCAGCTTTGGAAGCCATATTAGGCTGGAAGCCTCCATGCTACCACCTTTTCATGTGTGGGAAAGTAGGGGAGGGGGGAACTAACTCTTCCCCTTGCAAATAATAATAATAATAATAATAATAATAATAATAATAATAATAATAAAAATAATAATAATAATAAAAATAAAATAAAAAAAATAAAAAAAAAACAGGAGTGCTTCCCTTTGAACTGGGGGAACAGGCAGGGGTGGGAACGGAGCTCTTTTACAATTTCCTTTTCTTCCTTTCTAAATCTTGAATGGGATGTTTGCCAACATCTTCCCCCTGTCAGGTGGGGTGAGAATCAATTCCATAAATTAATCATTGTCATTAGTTATCAATTTGGATATCTGGCCTGAAAAGGGTTCTTCCTTCTCTCGAAAAGAAAGCCAGAGGTGGAAGTCCCCCCCTCCTTCTCCCTCCTTCTCCCTCCCATTTCACTAAGGCTGTTCCTTCCTTCCTCCCCACCTCTAGCTGATTTGTTATGCCCTAACTGTCCCAGGTGTCGAAAAACCTAGGACAAAACCTCCTTCTATGTATGGGCTGCGGCGAAGCGCCTGGGAGGGAGTGGCCATGGCCGTTGTGCCATGGCGAAAAACTGGCGGAGGGCCAGCCAAGGAAAAATGTTTGTGGTTAATAACCCAGAGGCGAAAACCTCGAGGCAAAACAGGCAAAGAGTAGGGATCAAGCCGAAAAGTCCCATTCCGTTTTTACACCCATCCAATGTGACTCAGAATGCTTACTACACAAGCAATGTCTGGTCTGGACCACTTTGACAGATATAACAGGCTCCCTATTGCTAACTGATTTATCTGTTGATCACAGGTGTCACTTTCATTCTCACCCAAACTGTTATGAAAATCTGTGCTCATAGGTGTTGGAGCAGTATTACAATCTTTCATGTTATATCTCTCCAACAACTGTTCAATTTTTCTTTTTTGACTGAGAACATAGCCACCTTTCTCATTTTTTTGTATCTCCACACCAAGATAATTTTGTATTTCTCCCAAATTCTTTAGTTCAAATTTCTTCTCTAACTTATTAGCAAATTCTTTTGCTGTGATACACCCTTTGCAATGAAACAAAGGTCATCCACAAATGCTAATAGTTGGCAATCCCCACCTTGTAACTTTCCAGTGTATATGCATCCATCAGCCTTGCAACTCTTGAACCCAAGACACTTCAATGCAGTATCTAAACAGATTTTCCAATTCCTGGCTGACTGCTTCAGCCTATAAATGGCCTTGTTCAATTTATACACCGCTTTTTACTTTCATACCCTGGTGCTTGAACCATGTAAATTTCTCCCTCTAATTCTGCACTGAGGAATGCAGTGGTTATGTCAAAATGCCAAATGTTATGGCCATGTGCCGCTGCCAATGCTAGTGCCAGCCTGATGCTTTCACTCTTTAGGCGTGAATACCTCATCATAGAGCATATTTTTCATCTGTGAAAAACCTTATGCCACTAACCTTGCTTTATATTGTACCTCATTATAGGGTAGTACTTTCTTCTTGTACACCTATTTGCATCCTACGGCTTTGCAACCCTCTGGCAAAGCCATAGATGTGAACACTTTATAGTCTCCCATGGATTTCATTTCTTTGTCCATGGCTTCTTTCCATTTTATTTGTTCAATTCTAGGTAATGCCAATACTTCCTTATAGTTTCTTGGCTCATACCATACATTACACACCTTTACTTTGCTAGCAGAATACCTGTCAGGTGGAATCCCCTTGTTCCATCGCTCTGACCTGCGTGGCATTGACTGCTGCAGTGTTTCAATCAGTGGTGGGATTCAATTTTTTTTTACTGCTGGTTCTGTAGGTGTGGCTTGGTGGGCACGGCTTGGTGGTCATATAAGTGGGAGTGCATGGTCAACTCAATGTCACTTTCACCTGGTCACATAAACCCTGCCAGCCATACCTACCCAGGTTTTGTGGCTCCCGGTGTTTTCTGTGGGAAATGGGTCATGTGACTGGGTGGGTGTGGCCAACTTGATTGGTCTCACCCTTAGGAAATTTCTCCTTAGTCCAACTCACAATAAAATAGCACAGTAAAATAACACTGTTCCAATATTTAGAATAGAATAGAATAGAATAGAATAGAATAGAATAGAATAGAATAGACTAGACCTTGGAGGTCTTCTAGTCCAACCTCCTGCTTAGGCAGGAATCCCTACACCACTTCAAACAACTGATTATCCAATCTCTTCTTAAAAACCTCCAGTGTTGGAGAATTTACAACTTCTGGAGGCAAGTTGTTCCACTGATTAATTGTTCTGTCAGAAAATTTGAGGGGCTCCTACAAAAATGAGGGAGTCAATCTATTTTCCAAAGGACCAAAAGGCACAAGAAACAATGGATGGAAACTAACCAAATGCAGTTTACATTATGGCACATGTATTGCATGCAGTAACTTCATCCAAGTCAAAACAGAGAGTAAAGATGAAAGAGATAAGACAAAAAGGACTACATGAATAGCCATGGAAGGTAGTCTCCATTTAAATGTGAAATGGTTTTACTTTTTTTTTTTTTTTGAGACTAGACATGACTTCATTTTCTCTCTACCTTCTCCCCAATTTAGCTCCATAAATTTTTGAGAAATACTTTCTTTAAAAACAGTGTTGGAGAAAACATTTCCTTTGATGACAATGGGCATATCAATGCAGGATTTGATATTTTCAACTGGGTCACTTACTCAAATAACACATTTACAGAAGTCAAAGTTGGATGGGTGGACCCAAATTCTTTCTCTTCCAAAACATTCAACATGCAGGAGGGTTCCATTACATGGCCTATGAGATTTAACCAGGTACAGTATATATTTTGTGTAGATTTGCAGGTAGTTCAATCCCCATTTTGAATGTTTAAAAAATAGTTCCTTGCATTTCTACTTAAATAGCATAGTCAGCATACATTCTTTAGGATTTGGAAACTGTGTGTTAAATTAAATATCTTCTTTGTCCCGATCAAATACCAAGGCCAGGATGTGCTGGTAATTCTGAGTCAATAGCCTATCAAAAGAAAGAATTTCAGGCTACATGTATTTTTTTGATGGTAACACTCATTCTACCAATACTTTGCCCTATGAAAATTGACCTACTAAAAATAAGGCACTTCAAGTCAACTCCATGGAACTAAGGAGAATTTTTCTAACAATGAGAGCAATCAACCAATAGAAAGGTTTTCCT